ATGTGTTCAGCCAATTCCTATTTTGGAATCACAGACCTTTGCAGGCTGTTTTGTGCTAAGTTAACCTCTTATGTATGGGTCTACAGGTCTCTCCCACACAGGCACTACCACATGGACACAAAATCTTGTAACAGCTCAATCTGGAGAGCAGACCTTCTTGAAAAGAATGCTGATTTCCTATAAGCATATCCGCCAAGCTTACCATCTACCTTAATAACCATAAAGTCCAATGAAATTAATATCATATTTTCTTATAATTCCATTGTGAAATTAAAATTTCTCTCACGCTGGTTAAGTAAGGATAGAAGACTATCTAAACGATCTTTACCATGCTGCTAGATCACAAAGCAATTTAAGACAGAATTACCTATTGCATTAAGCGTTCCTCAAATTTAGTCAAGTAGTTATCCGCCAAAAATGGAGGTAAGCAAGAAGTGAATGCAAGTCCTTGTGTCTGTTCAGAAAACTTATCGTCAAAGGTGAAATATGTACTACTCATGGGTAGATTAAGGAGACTTAGAATGGAAGCTATGCTTAACTACAATCATAAATATGAAGACCAATATAGTGTGGGCTTGTGTCTGATCGCAGTCTCTATTAACTTAATAGTGTTGGTTCGAACTTGTTTTCGCAACTTGTTCGGAGCGTCAGGGAGACCTTATAGAACGTACGTAGCCATGTGTCCTCTGCCATAGTATTCGTGATTTCCAGCATTGGGCCATTGGCTGGATACATTCCCAAACATTTCGCCGGAATCGTAGTGGGCATCTTCAGTGAGAAGCGCATTTTAAGCACAGAGTCATAACTTATCAATTGTCAATTTTAAACATTTAGGAATGCTCCCAACCAATAGTCTAATGTTTTAAATTACGTATACTATGGCAGAGAACGCGGGACTTGGTACATTCTACAAGGTTTCCCTGACGCTCCGACCAGACTGGGAAAACAAGTTCGAACCAACACTATAATCATCTTAGTTTCCTTCATCATCCCTGAATGCTCTTTCAGGGTGAGGATTAGAGACTGAATGTCTCCTTGAGCTGGAATATTTGTGAACAGTGATATCACGTCAAAACTAACTAATATATCTTCTTCTGAAATATTTTGCTGGTCCACTAGTTTAACAAATTTATATGAGTTTCTTACCGAAAATAACCAAAATTCTGTCACTTTTATTAATTTTCTTAGGGGGACTTTAAGTTTGTATGAAAGTTAATGAAGAAGAGATTCGTTGGTCGATCTCACCAGATGAAGATGGATGAAAATCGTTGTACTTCAGCAGTCCACGGGACTTCTTCCCTCATTTCGGGTGAAAACGTGCTGAGCTTTCGTCCATCCTTCGATGGACATCATCAGAGCTGGCTGTCCTTCTTGTAGAAGTCTCATGTTAACACTAAAGCAAGAGCACTATCAGGCTCTATTTTATTTCTTAAATATACTCAATTGAGCCAAAAGAAAATTACAAACCTAGATTGATAAATATAGAGTGTTTTGGTGAATTATCTTTCATACTGGTCCTCTTACTTTTGCTCGAGTATATGCGTATGTGTATGTGTACGTGTTAGCGTCTATATGCAATACCGGTCCTAAATCAGAGTTGTCAAAGGTTCAATCTCAGGTTCTGAACCTAAAGACCTAATTACCCAAGAGAAAGCATTGACTGAGACTGCGTAAGTCCGTAAACATGAGACATGAGCTTGTAGGTATGTAAATCAAGTTATGAAACCATTTGTCCTAACCTTTCAGTTTAGTGTCATTAATGTTTAACCCTCCAATGAAAAGCATGACTGGGATTGCGTAATCTGACATGTCTGGTTTGGTTGATGAGCTTTTCTAACATTTTGGACGAATGTGAGTGAAATTAGAACCATCACCGAGCAGACAAATCGAGTCGCCTTATTTTTGACGGCGGCTCAACACCCTCTCTCTCTCTTTCAATCTATCAATCAAGCATACGTAATTCCTACTCAACTTTCTACCTCCTATCCTCACACTCAACGTATTTCCTAAGCTATTAATTTCAATGGTCTCTAATCTATTTCTTTTAGCCACAGATGTACCTACTGCTTTCCCAAAAGGTGTTCTCACACGGGGTAGACTGCAGTTTAGACTTGCGCACGCCTTATCAACACTCCCAGCGGGAGTCGAACCATGGCAGTGCAGCGTGTGGGCTCGACACTTTAACCATTAGCCCCATTGCCGCAAGAGACCTTGGGTTACAACTCATATATCTTATTTACTGGTAGTGCTGAAAGCCTACTCATTTACGAAAAAAGTAATGTCGTTGATTGCTATAGCAAATATAAGTTTGCTTCAAAAACACATAATATGATATGTGAAATGCATGACATTCCTTGAAAATTCCCATCTGCCCTGTGACCCAAGGGCACTCGTGGCAATGTGGCCGAGTGGTTAAAGTGTCAAGTTCCCATTCGGCACTGTCACGATTCGACTCCCGCCGGGGTTGTTGATAAGACTAAGTGATGGGCGGTGGAAACTGCAGTTCGCCCTGGATAAAAACATCTTTTGAGAAAGCAAGGCTATGTGAAATTCAATGGAAAAAATCAGCTATACTCATATCATTGTGGAAAAAATCAACTACCAGTCCTTCATCACCTTAAATGAAATAGGGCGAACACCACTCAAACATCTGATTTACTGGTAGTCTCAAAAACCAATTCATTTACGAAATAAAGGTCTAGATACTCTAGCTTAGACGATGTTCGTCACATGACCGAAAATTTATAAGCAGCTCATCTTCCTTTACTATCAAAGACATGCATGTGTCTATCGTGGTCTAATGAAAGGAGAATCTGCTGATCCAACATTTTAAAGAAGACACTTACATGAATAATTCACAAGCAATTTCTCATTTTGTACGATGGGTGCCACATGAGGTCTCCCAGTTTGGTGGGCGGTGCTTGCAATAAGAGAAATACAACTTGAAGATTCCCTCTCTATCAGCATCTCCAACTAAAATTCACGCTACCAATAGATTCATATGGCTCTACCAACATGGTCACGAAAGTGACTTCAGCTCCACAATCAGCTTTTGAACTTTCTTCCTAAAAATATAGCATTGATGAAGTATCTTTTCTTTCATCACATTGAGTAGTCTGGCAGGATTTTGCGAAAAATTCTCGCCATTATCATTTCAGAACTGAGGTATTTACAGACTTTCTCTGAGAGCTTGAAGTACTGCTACTAAGGAGATCTATTTGGGCCAATCACGGAATTATTCAGAACGATTGGAGAGGGTTGTATGATCCGAAATACTTTGAAGTCCAAAAAAATCGCGAATATGCGATTCGGGAATCGAGTGGCTGGGACTGTAAGTGGTTATTGGCTTTTTTCTGTTTGGCATTCTCCAAACAGACTTTGCTGCTGAGGGTAATGGGGCCACTCGAAACCCTGTCCTCCTCCATTTCTACCGTGGCACCATTAAAACCTCGCAGTTCACATGTTTGATGAGAGAGAATGTGCCCAAGACAACGTGAATGTATATATTGTGACAACTTTCCGTTTCGAATGTAATGTTCGCTGGAAGAATTATTGACGTGGCCACACTGAAAGAAGACCTCGGCTCATCGTCCTGCTCACCGACATCTGCGTTCATTGGTATCGCAGGACCGTGATCCAAGGTCTTCTTCGCACAATACAAAAGTCTTCCATACGCGGTAATCATCCTTTTGTTTCCAGTAAGCTTACATAATGAATTCCTTACAACCGATATTTCCTTCGAGAAGAAAATTCATGTCATAATATATCATTAAGGTACGCTCGGTAACCCAGTTTTTCTTAATTTCTTTTGATGCGATACACCTCTCAATCTATTCATCCTACATTTTCGTTTGAACTAGACATAGGCTCTGCATTTTACAACACACTTTTGTCCATAATGAGCCCTGACT